TCCGGTACCGGGAATCGAACCCGAGCCTCCTGGGTGAGAGCCAGGTATCCTAGCCACTAGACCATACCGGATTCTTGTGAAGCTGAAAGTATACGTTCTTACTTAAGCATGACTCTTTACAATGTTATCCAAATTGATAAGTCGACTCGTTCAGATGTTGGTAATCTATATTAATTTTTTTTTATTTTAATTCCTACTAATATTTTTTTTTTATAAAAAAAAGTATAGGTAATTTTAAATTATATTAAAAATTACCCTAATTTGTATGTACCTATACGGCTATACCTAATTATTACTGCATAACAATTAATAGGAGGTAAAATGTTAGCTCGACGGTCGAATATGACTATTTATTATTGAAGATTTCAGTTTACATAACATGATAGATAATAAGAATAATTAATATCATAGTTAATGTGTAGGTAGATATCATATATTGTATTAATTATTAGATATAAACATAGGTGCAATTAAGGAGGGGAAGCTTAGAGGGTGTCCTGTTTATGTATTAACACATCTGCTTATAAAAATGTTTAATACAAAAAAAAACATAAGGTTTTTCAAGCATTTATTATGTAACTTGTAAACGTTCGTTTTCTGCTTTGAGAAGAATAAATGTTTGGCTTTGGGTTTCAACGAGACAGGACAGACTTGCAGATTTGCTAATACTACATATAGAAAAAGACATGACAAATTTAATCAACACAAACAAAGTTATTGACACATTTGCAGTGCAAGCAAAGGATAATAATAAAACTCTTGTAGAGGTGTATTGTTTTTTGATCACAGCATCTTGATCCAAGTTCTCTATATCAAGTGTATTATTTTACCCTTTGAACAATTGAGACCTCTGATTCCTCTAACGGATTTATTTATCGACCGTTTACCTTTTTACGGTTAACTCGGAGGGGTGCAAAGAAGAAGACATATTTTGTTCAATATATTATCCGATAGGTATCTTTTACGGTTAGAGAAAACTTCTGCTGGATTTTTATTCTACCTACAAATATATTATAATGACAAATAAACGGCAAAACGTTAGTGACAAATAGAAAATATATAAAATTTGGATTATTATTTCAATCAGACTAGACACAACTTTGCCTATAAGGTACTATGGTTTAGTCTGTGTTAAGACAAAAAAAAACGAATAAATATTGACCAAAAAAATTGCCCAATTTTGTTGAAATCTGCACGTGGGTATAAAGTGGAACAAAGTTACGTTTTTTTAAAACTAATTTAAACTTGATTCAATTCGATAAATGAACTGAGTAATTCCTTTTTTTTACCGCGTTTATTCCAAATATCAACATTTACAAAAAAAAACTATACAAAAACTACTGTTTTTAAATCCTAAAAAAAAACATTGTTAACAAACAAATGGCTAATGCGAAATGTCGACGTGAAAAGTCAATATTGTTTAGTTTTGCCTTTTTGTTAATAGCTAACTGCTAAGTGATAATAATTGTTAGCACCTACCTAATACCACGATGGGACATTTTTTTTAAATTCAATTATTTAAAAGAAAAAAATTACTAAAATTACATATCCATATAAATACAGGATGTATCGTTGAATAAAATATATACACCAAAAATATTATATTGTACTCGTCCATTATAGAATATAACATGTCCATTTACCTATAAATATATATGTATATATAGATTATATACCCATTAGGACCCGTTAAGTCGTAATCCGGCTAATGTCGACGGCCGTGGAGTGGTAATTTCCAATATTTTATCCCTTGTTGGAACTTTGCCCAGTGTCTCTTGAACCCTCATTAAACCGATGTAGCAGTTCCCGAGGGAATATCCAGGCTAGTCATCGTTTGTCTACCGACCAATGCAGTTAGAAAGTCTGCGAGTCTACGGTTCAAAAATCCTACCTGAAAGGTACTACATCGAGTGAACGTTTTAAAAATTTTACCCATTCCCGTTAAAAAACCAAGAAAAAACACCAAAATAAAAATGTAAAACTGTGCACATTATTCAAATTAAAATCAACAGGTATCCTAAAAATATATTCATTTTGAATAAAATAATTACTCAATGATTAAGCAATACTTAATGATTTTTCCAACGTTTTCGTTGAAAATGACAGAAAATGCGACACATCTAACTAACTACGTGTATATATTGCGATGGACAATAATTAGGTACTTTGTAAAACTGATAATCGGCCAGTCAACAATATTTGGGTAAGCAATATTGTTAGTATTCCAAAAGGTAGTAAATTATTTTTAAATAATTGAGTTTCAGCAGTTATCCGGCTCGAAAGCATCAACAGCTCAAGTCATTTTCAAGAAAACGTTTGTCTGTCGTTAAATCGATCACCCTGTATATCATTTTGTTACGATTATTGTTTTTTCAATAATCTTTGGAACATTTTATCAGTATTTTTTTTTTTTTTGCATATCAATCATTAAAAATATATATCAAACCCGCTTTCGGACAGAAGCGATTAATCGAAATATATATATTATATATATATTTGTTTTTAGCACGTGGAAATTTTTTTATGCTGAATTTCCAAAAGTATTGAAATTCAAAATTCAAACAGTCCAACGACAATAAATCAAACGGTTCGACGGTTGTGTTAAACAAAAGTGCGCCCACCTACCAAAAAAAAAAAACAGAGCGTTTCAAAGGGTATTTTTTTTTAATTATAATTTCTATACAATTATCATTACTCGATGGGTATCTAAAAAAAAAAAAAAAAAAATCGACCGAGCCCTCAACGATTTTCGCACAAATTATTTAATTTGATTAAAAATAATCCTTTAACTGTATGTGTAACGGCGGCGGACGTCCGGTTTTTTTTTTTTTTTTTTAATGGAACGTTCGCGTTTAATTAATTATTATCGGTAGCACATTATACCACCACCTACGCTTTGTGCAATGGCCACCGTCCGTTTAATTTAATTTTTCCAACCAGATTTAAAGAGGTTCTCTTTGTGTACAGGATAGCATGACGTATACTTATACATCCGTGCTTACCTGCTATTTGGCGTTTTCGGTGGGCATGAACGGGAATCAGGGTTCGGTGTAGCTGTTATAGTGTAGGTAGGTATAGTAATAATATAATTGTGCACTTGCGCGTGGAAAGAGGAGAAGGAGCAGTCCAGAGAGGTAAAATTAAAAAAAAAAAAAAAAGGGGAAATGATTCCGTAGGAAGTCACTACCGGCCACCGGGTACAAGTTAATGCACTCAACCTGTCACCGAATTTTAGATCCGGCTGTCACGAGGGCTGCCCTTGCAAGTTTCCTGCCTACATCAGCAATTTGTACGGTCTTCGATAATAAAACATTATTCTATATCATCGGTTAGCTGGGGGGAAAAAAATCAAATCAAATCAAATAGAAAATGCCCAATTATTTATGGCCATACCGCTTGAGTAACGTGTAATCTCACCCCGAACCGAAGCCTAAATGCATGAAAAAAACTCACTCGACATTTTGAACGGTCAATTTAAAAGTTTATGATATTTTCTAGAAAACAATTGATCACCCTGTATACATAAAAAAAAAAAAAAAATTATACATCAACAAAAATTACAATTTTGTGTTTAAATATCAAAATATATCAAGTGGTATGTTTTTCAAAATCAATGTACTTTTAATATTAAAATCATGTTTTTGGTGTTTTATCTTTTGTCGAGGTTTCTTTATTATTTAAAAAAAAGTTTGACTGTAGAATTTAAAATTGTTTTTTTTATTCCATTTTTAGTTTCACAAATTGCACATCTTATTTAGTAAAGTGTAAAATGTGAATTTCAAACTTCTGCTTACAATTCCTAATAGTAAATCATTCTCATATTATATCAATCAATTTAAAATGATGGTGTTTTATCAGTGATAACAATTCCGCCAAGAAAGAAGTCTTATTCGCTTAAAATATCTAGAACACTTCTAGGTCAAATTATATTCATTCCTAAGTCATTTTTTAAAGGTATAATATTAGTTCATCAACTTCCAAGTCGTATACGTACAATAGTTACTAACTACTATTAATTTCTATGTTAATATGGAAAAAAAATAATATGATCAAAATTCGTGGCATACCTTTCACCATTTATTTTGCGGAGGAGAATAACTTTGGCATTTTAAGTTCTTGGCTGGCGTTTGTCCTATTGGCAATAAAACTTTAGCTAGGACAGTAAAAACCGCAAGACAAAAAATGTCAAACTCTTCCGGTTTAATAGAGATTTATCGAGGGTAAATAAATAAGAAAAAAAAAATAACAAAATAACGTTCAATTGAAATTTCCGGTGCGCCGTTAGTGTGCGGTTCTGCTCTCACCCTCCCATTATTATTCATATATATATATATATATATATATATATTGAGGCAAACCTTCTGTCGAATGCAAATAATATATAATTTCCTAATTATTATCGTCTGGAATCCATTTATTCGGTTCCTTCGAGTGGGCAATAACTTGTTTTATTTTTGCCAAGAGGAAGAGATGAAAAAATAATTTGATTATATTATATTATTATTTCCTGCCCGGACAAATCATATTTATGCTGTGACGTTTTTATATGTTGAATTTTTAAAAGTAGAAACCGTTTCGATAATTTCTTAACCCGTATTGCTACCATTGTTTGTTTGAGCCAAACCGGTTCGAGTGACAAAACAAGTCCTATCTGCGTTTGTTTATCGGTTTCCAGTAGAGATAATGATGGGTCTATTGAAGACATCAGTCATAATACAAAAATACATTACGGAAAACTCAATATTTATATGTATATCACTCTCTTTTCATTTGGTTTTCATCAAACACACACACACAAAGTCTACAAAGTTCTAGTCCAGTTCTAATCGGTCTAAGCAGTCCTTCAACACAAAATAGTGTATACAACACAATATGCTGTTGATAGGACTTGGATTTGTTTTAAACCGTCTTTGGGGGGGGGGGGGAGGGTATTATAGCTTTTGTTTTTCTCAGGTTGTATATTGGCTAATAAATTTGCAAAAAAATTCTACTGTACTCACTATTGGATCCGACATAAATGGGCGTCCACGACAGCTGTTGTAAATTGACCAGCACCAAGTGACAGCAAGATAGCAAGAGTACAGCAAACACTCGTGTCATCCTTTTCATCTTGGACACCGTCGATTGTATTGTACGGGCCTCTAGTTATACTTTTAAAACGATTGCTGTTTATTATCGATGCTAAACCACAAAGGGTCGATGATACACTGACCGACAAAATGTGATGATCCACTTGCTGCGGCACATCGCTGGTCAAACCACCGCCTGTAAAAAAAAAAAAAATACAAAAATGTGTTTAAAATTGAATAGCAATAGTATCGGGGTGGGTACGATTAGCGTTTAAACGTCGGCACAATTTATTTGTACGATTAATAGTTAAGCAAAAAACAAATAAATTATAATTTATACAATCAATACTTGAGTTCAAAAATAATGTTTTGCCAATCAGTTTTAAACAGAACAATCCGTCAAGTTCCAAAAACCACCTTAACGGTCAGTGAAAATTCATAAATAAAATATTGATACTTTTTGTTGGCTCTACCATGATAATACAATGTAGTTTATGCACTGGTAGAGGTGGGAATTACTAAAATATAAATTCACAAAATGAACTTTATAGGTTCCAAATTTAAAATATTTTTTTAAGTCTTGAAATACATTAGGTATTAAACAAACAAATATCTAAAAAAAATATAGTTTGAAAAAGTGGTTCAAAAACAATACTTATTTGAGAAAATTAATAAAATTCGATAAATTCTTATCGTTTGCAGTTCTCCAATTGCATACAGTTTCTCATAAGTTTTGACTCTTTAATAACAATTCAGGAAATATTTTCAATCAGATACAAGTTTAAAAATTGTACTTTATTGCATTTTATTTAAAAATGGATTTCAACATAAATACAATTACATGGTCTTCATATTTTGTTTTTTTTTTTGCAAGATAAAATCGCATACTGTATAAGTTATTAGAAAAAACTATTTAATTATTCAATTTGCTTCGGATATTTTGGAATTTACCAGAAAAAAAGTTAAAAAATTGAATATTTTCTTTTATTATAAAACAACATTCACAGCTATAATGTCTCACAAAAAATAAACCCAACAAAATTGTAATTATTTTCAGAGAAAACTAGTGTCTTACGATACGAGTAGGTTATGTAGTCGAAACCCACACGGTCCATACTTAAGAAAATGTGTTGGCAACACTGCGTTATAGAATTTACATATCATTAAAAGTTTATTGGTAACGTGATAACAGTTTTGAAACTAATTATTTCTTGAGTTTCCTGAATAATGTGATTTTCGGATCATGTGAGTTTTGATTTCAGCCTAATTATAATATTTGGTTGGCAAAATTTACTTTTTTTTTAAACTCTGTCCACCGAGTTTTGTAATTTTACGTTTAGATAATATTTGATAAATAAAAACAATTTCCATTTGCGGTTTAGTTTCTGTGTTCTAACGCTTGTGATTTCGTCGTTAAAAGTGTCAAACAATGTAAAAAAGTCGATTGTTTTGCTTTTCAACACATAGTCAATGGAACGTGACAAGTTCTACAAGCTGCCTTGTGGACTATTCTGTAAAGGGGCCGGCGAAAAGTGAAAATAATCAACGGAAAAAGGTTGAAAACTTTATGGAAAATTTTGCAAAAAGTTCTCATGGTCCAGGTGAGGCTCGAACTCACAACCCCGGCATTGCTCACGACTACTGTCTTATAAGTACCGTGCGCTAACCGATTGCGCCACTGGACCGGCACGACATTTCCCACAAAAACAATAGGTTTTGACTTTTTTTAAAAAAATGTGTAAATAATGCAAATAACACCTGGTGTTGTCCCCCCCCCCCCATTAAGAATAGGTACTAATTACACAGGTCGTTTAGGTAGGTACCGTACAGGTGCAGCACTATATTATGTGTGTGTGTGTTTGTATTTGCTCTCATGTACTAACTGTACGAACAATCCGTTGTCACAATCTAACAACCGTACTACAAAGCCATGAAGGTGTTGCTGACTACTTTTATTATAGTTTAAGTATGGTTGTATAGACCTAAAAATATTGGCTCCCCAGGCAAAGAACCAAAGTTGCCGCTGTAGAAATATTTATAATTAAATGTGTTCAACTATAAAAAAAAAAAAAAATGTAGAGATATTTTTTTAGGTTTTCTCCAAATAATTAAAGAAAAAGCGCAGGTCCGACAGTGTTGCCAAATTTCGACCACTAGAAATATCTATAGTAAGTATACTTTGAAAAGGAAAAAAAAACGATTTCGTTAATATATTCTTTTGATTCCAGCTGAAGAAATGTATGGTAAGTAAGTTTCACTTTGATGTAGAGGATGAGTTCTAATTTATTTATTAAATCCCGTTGCCTACGCACTTTGTCAGGTCCTAAGAACTTTATTTATGACTTACACGAAGTAGGTTCAATTGACATATTATACACCGAGAGTGTCTGAAAAACATGATCAATTTTTATTACTATTAAAAAAAATAAAACACAAATAAAACCATTGATTTATCACATTATCATAGGTATTATTTATTAATTCTGGCTTATCCGTTGTAGTACATATAGTGCATTAATGTGAGTGTATCGATACTGTAATTAAGTAAAAATAATAATAATAATATTGTACAGTCATCACATTAATATAATCTGTATTTTTTTCAGATTTATACTTGCATAATTTATTACCATGATAAGTAACCTTATTTTAAACGAGTGGTAATGCATATAGGTAAAACTCTAAAGTACAAGTAGGACGCATGTATTTTTTTTTTATACAATGAATTCAAAGTTATAATAGTATAGCTCTTATTCAATTTTCATACAGTGTAATGAGTTATTTAAACGAATATGTGATATTAATATTGTTGTAGTAGTAATTAATGTGTACATATATATTATTTATTTTCTTTAAATAAGAAATTAAAATTTGTCATCAGCTGAGATTGAAATGCTTTCAAACGGCACCGGAAACAAGTAATTTTTTATCATCGATTATCCGAATTTTTGCTAATTTTTTTTTTTACTGCTATAAATATTGTTTTTGCACTGAAATTTGAGTAAAATGTCATAAGTTGATGTCACTCATTCGTTGTATTTTTCAATTATTTTTTTATCACAAAGTTTTACAATCGTATTGTGTTGTGTAAAAAATTTTTAAAAAAATATTAAAAAAGTTCAAACGATGTTATTTGGCGGGACTTTACCAAAAGCGGATATAATATGTTTTTAGTTGAGAATTTAAATTCAAGTCTATTATGGTATTTCCATACTTCACGTTACTTATTTTATAAATTAAGAATATCAATGAGTTGTTGTGATAATTAATTTTGTTATGGTTTTTACAAGTAAATGCTTTCACCTATTTTTTTAAAATCATTATTAACGAAAGCTATGACTGTATGATGAGCAAATTGACTACCAATTAAGTATATTCTCAATAATTATGTCTTGATAAGTATACAAAATAATTTTAGGATTAAATTAAAAATTACCCACGCGATTAATATTTACTGTCAAGCATAAAGTTGAGTGTGTATTTTTTGTTTTTTTTAACGTTGAGTATTCTTTGCGTTAATTTCATTATATCTTTTTCATGCTCTAATAAATAAAAGATTTAAATGTTATTATTTATTACAAAACGTCAAAAACGGAGAAATGTTCTTTCATCGCATTAAAAAAAAGTGTTATAACATCTTTAGTATGATCCGTAATTTGAAGAAAAAAAAAATATGTTGGCAACACTGCGTTACAGAACTTTGTGAAACTGTTATCAGTTTATTTCAAAACATACCAGAACAAGTAAATATATATTATATCCTTGGAAAGTTAGAAGTTCATAGTTATCGTGTGATAACAGTTATATAATAATATTTGGTTGTCAAAATTTACCTTTTTTAAAATTTTGTCTACCAAGTTTTTTTGTAATTTGGCAAATAAAAAACAATTCTGATTTGCGGTTAATTTTCTGTATTCTAACCGGTCGCTTGTGATTCGCCGTTGATAGTGTAAAAAGTTCCAAAATATCACCTTAACGGTAAGGTTATAAGTTTGACTGTTTAATAACGTTTCAGGAAATATTTTCAATCAGACACATGTCTAAAAATTGTACTTAATATGAGTACTGCATTTTATTTGAAAATGGATTTCAAAATAAATACAAATTTACGGTCTTCGTATTTTGTTATTTTTTCTAAGATAAAAACGCATACTGTATAAGTTATTTGAAAAAATTAGAGAAAAACTACTTAATTATTCAATTTCCTTTTGATAATTTGGAATTGACCAAAAAAAAAATAAGTTAAAAATTTGAATATTTTCTTATATTATAAAACAACATTAACAGCTATAATGTCTCACAAAAAATAAACCCAACAAAATTGTAATTATTTTCAGAGAAAACTAGTGTCTTACTATACGAGTAGGTTATGTAATCGAAAATCACGCGGTCCATACTTAGGAAAATGTGTTGGTAAAACTGCGTTATAGAATTTTTATATCATTAAAAGTTTATTGGTAACGTGATAAAAGATTTTAAATTCAATTATTTTTTGCGTTTCCTGAAAAATGTGATTATCGGATCTTGTGAGTTTTGATTTCAGCTTAATTATAATATTTGGTTGTTAAAATTTACTTTTTTTTTAAACTCTGTCCACCAAGTTTTGTAATTTTTCGTTTAGATAATATTTGATAATAAAAAAAAATTTCCATTTGCGGTTTAGTTTCTGTGTTCTAACCGGTCGCTTGTGATTTCGTCGTTAAAAGTGTGAAAAAATGTAAAAAAGTCGATTGTTTTGTTTTCAACACATAGTCAATGGAACGTGACAAGTTCTACAAGCTGCCTTGTGGACTATTCTGTATAGGGGCCGGCGAAAAGTGAAAATAATCAACGGAAAAAGGTTGAAAACTTTATGGAAAATTTTGCAAAAAGTTCTCATGGTCCAGGTGAGGCTCGAACTCACAACCCCGGCATTGCTCACGACTACTGTCTTATAAGTACCGTGCGCTAACCGATTGCGCCACTGGACCCGCACGACGTTTCCCACAAAAACAATGTGTTTTGACTGGTGTTGATATAATTTGATATAGCGGTTCATATTACTATTATCACCATACAATCGATACACTTTTTTCTGATGTGTGTACAGAGACTATAATATTAACGTTTTTTATTATTTTTTTATTATGCAATTTCAATCCGTCCCCATAGTGTCGGCCAACTTTTCTGAGCAATCCACTTAAAATATTTGGTAAC